GAAGAAAACATTGATAACGAACAAATTGTCGAATCGACGAATGCTCACGTGAAGGACTTTTTATACCATTTTTATTTATCGTGGACTTGATGGATATTCGGCTGTTCTCATTGTCATCTTCTTCTTTAACACGCGGTAAACTAGCTGTCGATAGTTCTTGCCAGGCCATTTTAGATTCGACGCTTCTTTTTTCACTTCTTATCACAGGCAAACTCATGAAAATTTTATCACCGGTCCTTTTATTGTAGCCATTCCCTTCATGACTATTAATCAATAATGACTGCCTGCTCTTCACACTTCTGGACTGTGAACTCATGTTGTGGGATACCCCCATGTCATCTGTAACAGCCTTGCTGGTGCTTTGTACCGATTCCTTATGAAATTCGGAATTTCCATAATCATTCTCACCCTCGTTTAAGTTTGCGTAGACAGAAGCGTAATCCTGGAGCGTTCGCTGAAGAACATCTTGTTCGTCTACAGCAAAATTTTTGTCTGAAGGAGAAACGTTTGAAGATGCCGAAACCAATTGTTCGGATAGTGAAAATTCATCTGAAAGAGCATCCGAATTCAATGTATTGGATGAAAGATGTTGCGGGTCGTTGGATGTCGAATTCCGCAAATTCGAATCATCATCATGAAAATCGGGAATTGGTAAACGACCGTCATTTGTAAAATTGATTTCGGAGTTTTGCTAAGCCAAGAGGAAATGAGACGAGTTTCTCCACGAAAAAAAACAATGCATAAAGGTGAAACTTGGATTTACCTTGTTACCGAATTTTTTAAAAAACGTGGAGGTTTTTCTCATGGTATTCTTCATTGTATTCTGCTTAAATAAAGGGAGAGAGGTGGTTCAGTAAGGGCATGCATGCGCCAGGGGTTGAAAGGATGTAACCTCAAGAAAATGATTACAATATCTTCACCTGAAGAGGGTGAGAAGGATATTGTAAGGTTCAAACACATTACAATAAGCGAGGGGGACGAATTCGGTTTACCTTAAATCCCAGATCTTCTTTCTGAGAAACTATGCTGCCTTTTCTTATACTGTTTTTTTTAGGAGAGATTGTCGAAGGTTTACCCCCGGCAATGGTATATGCGGATCCGTTTTCTTGTTCCCTCTTCGTAATATCATCATCGTCATCATCTGATGCATCATCAGTGCTCATTGCAATAAAGTCAGGCACGCTAGCATTACCAATTATTGACTGTGGTACATGATGGAGAGTCTCGAAGTGGTGGTTGATATTGTGTGTTGCTTCCTCTGCCGTGTTCATATTGCTATTATGATCGAGAACCACTCGTTGTTGGGGTGGTGCAGAGTAACGGTTTGCAGGGCCACTATTTATAGTGTTACCGTCCTTTTTCTTGAATAGAGAAAAAAAATTTTGTTTCGAGTTTCTCGCCGAAACCGGGAAAGTAGGTGAAGGAATGTACTGAGACAGGGGCGAAGTCGGGGGATCCTCCGAATCGGAAACGGGTTCGGTTATTTCATTTGTTGGTGAAGGAGAGTTTTCAATGCTTGCATTGTGATTGCGTGAGATATTTGAAGAAGCCGAATATTTAGACATGAGGTAATTTTGCTGTAAGGATGAATTGGAATTTTAGAAACTTTATAAAAAGTTGATGAATAAGAAAGACGAGAGAAGTTTTACAATCTAACGCAATGAAGGGTTATAGACATTTGATGTTTCGCTTTGCTGACTGACTGTCTATTGGAGTCATAAAGGCAGTACGCATGTGTAGTAAGGAAGGAACGAGTTATGCAGGCACGATAGTTTATGAAAGAAGTAGTTAAGAAAAATGGTTGGTTTAGAGCAAGTTACACTATAATTAATTATCAACGGTTACACGGTCGTAAATGTTACAAATTTGAGTGACTCAAGAATACATTCAAACATTGTTAACCTTATTATTGCGACCATTCCGAAGGGGACCCTTTTTTATTTATTGCAAATCCCGAAAACGTGGTTGAAATCGCGAAATGGAGATGTCGCACGATACTGACAAAATGAAAATTGTTACCTGGTACTGAAACAAGAAACGGTAACAAATCTGGCGATGAAAAGATTAAAATCAAATTTCTCGTAGGCTGATGATTTTTTTTGATTTTAAAATTCAACTTTGAAGACGCAAAAGTTTCGTCATCTTTTCTTTTACGGCTAGAGCTCGAGATGTATATGGTGAATTTCTGGCACCGCCTAATTTGGCGCACAAACCGTCCAATCTTATCGTGTGTTTATGTGCATATACGTAAATTACTGTTTAAAAAAAGAAACTTTGCTTTCCTCCTTAAACATTGGGAATATTAAAGGCTGAAATCGTTTAATTAATGAATTTCATGTTTTTTTGCATACGTGACGAAAAGAGAAGGACACATATATACAGTACATGTATATATACATATTTCAAAGTTTGAACTTGGTTGTGACATTGACAGCACGTGTGAAATCCGGTTTTTATGCTATTGTTGTCGTCACATGTCGGCTGACACGGATAAACTCGTGATATCATATTACTCTATCGTGAAAGTAAATTTGCATGAAAATTTAAGTAACTTGGCGAAACTCAAATCCCCAAAGCTTACGAACCATGAAAAATGTCCCGAGTCACAATTTATTCTCCTTATGCAGTTACCAGAAACCTTAAATGCTATCAAGATACACTGTCAGATCGAGACAAATTTGTGCGTATATTCTTATTCCTAAATTGGTCATAATTCTAGAGAAATTTCGCGCTTTTGGAATATGCATGGAGGAAGAAAAAAAACTTGGACATGCATAAAAGCAAACAAAGAATTCATGATATCAATCGATTTAACATAAATATAACAACAGGCTTGCATGAGTTGAGAACATTCCAATTGTCGAAAGACCCAAATTCGGTCAGGTGACCAAACAAGAAAACAACAGTACGTATTTAATTCGTGACCTATTTACTCACATATATAATAATCTCTCCAGCAAATCGGAGAAAAGATTATCAGAAATATACAGTATATATGAGGTAACTTTGCACGTTTTTTTTTTTTGGCTTTTCTGGTTCTATTTTTTTTTTTTGGTCATAACTGATACCGACTGATATCATTACCCTCATTCGATAATAATAAAAAAAAAAGGTTCGAGTCCGTATGCACAAGAGGTTATATATATTTCAACATTCTCAATAGGAGCAAGACATTCCCTTAATTAACGCAACAATATGTGGTGGGCAGGAATTTGGTCGACATTGAATTTCGTGATCATGTCCATTAGCCCATTCTTATCTTCAACCCATACGATGGATCCTGCGAAGGTGAATTACGGTGATGAATGTCAGGTTTCTCCAGCTTTGAAAACAATGATATGGGCAAATACACATTGTCAGAGCCTGATAGATTCAAAAACAACCCGTTTGTCAACTTCAATTTCGACCAGCACGGAAACCATAATCAATCACACGATACCAAAGAAGAATGGTGCTAAAAGCAAACAAAGGAAACCAAAGTCAGATAATATCACGCCATCATCCTCTAAGCAAAGTAAGATGATCTCTATCGATGATTGGAAAACTCAAGACAAGGGTTCCAGCGAATCAAAGTCAAGGCAAAAAAAGAGACCGAACAGTCCATCGAACAATGTCATCGAGTCTCTTGACGAGGAGGGAGACATTGGCGCCGTGTTTGAAAACACGGATCCGCAAGGATTTATTTCACAATACGAAAGCCCGGATATATCGAAACTGAAAGAACGATTTAACTTTGCTTCATTTGACTGTGGGGCTATCGTGCTAAAGACCAACAAAGAAGCAAAGGGGGCCACCGCAATTCTTTCCGAGAGTAAGGATACATATGTCCTTAACAAGTGCTCCGCCACAAAGTTTGTTGAATTGGAATTATGTGAGGACATTTTGATTGAATATGTGGCTTTAGCAAATTTCGAATTTTTTTCCTCTACATTTAAGGACTTTCGAATTTCGATTAGTAGCTGGTATCCTCCTAAGGAAGGTTGGAAATTGTTGGGTCAATATAAGGCAAAAAATTCAAGAGAAATTCAGGTTAGACAAAACATCAGTATATGTTGTATGATGTACGTGTTTCACATTTAAGTTTCTTTATTTCATCTTTATTCTTCTTATTTAAAAAATAGGTATTTCCTATTAAGAATCCAATAATGTTTGCGAGGTATCTGCGCATTGACTTTGATTCGCATTATGGTCATCAACATTATTGTCCCGTGAGCTTATTCCGAGTGCATGGTTC